TCTCTCTCTCTCTCTCTCTCTCTCTCTATCTCCATGTCGCTTGATTATATACGTTGAGGCTCGCGGGTGCAGGTGTCGGCGTTCACGCTAGCGGGTGACGGCGTGGCCTCGGCGCCGCTCTACTGCGTGACCGAGGAGGATAAGCCGGAGATGCCGGCGGGGATAAAGGCGGTCGCAAGCTCGGCGACCTCGATAATCGTCTCATGGCAGTCGCCGCTACGCAGCAACGGCATCATCACCTCCTACAGCGTGCACGTACGCTCGGTCGGACCTGATGGCAAATGGTACCGGAGGGCTCTACCGCCCCACGAAACGAGCTACCTCGCCGAGAACCTCCACAAGAAGAACCAGTACGAGTTCAACATCGCGGCGGTGACGTCGGTGGGTGACGGGCCCCGCACCCCATCTATCATTGTCTCGCCCTCGAGCGAAGGTACTACTACCAACTGTTACTATAACCACTACTACTACTAGTAGTACTGCTGCTACCTACCACTACCACTACTACCACCACCACTACTACCACCACCACTACTACTACTACTACTACTACAACTACTACTACTGCCACCACAACTACCACCACCACCGCCACTACTAATATTATCACTACTACTAATGCAAGCGTCTTTAATTCGAGCGATAGAGTATTCCGTTATTATTGGGCGGTATTTGGCCTCTTACGTTCAATCCTTTTAAAAGCTTCGTTAAGTTCATCGATACATTTGGCTAAATTATTTCGAAACGACGTCTCCGTACGACTGCAATCTTCTCTGAGTTAACGGTTTTTTTTTATTCACTAACTTTAAAGCGTCGGTTTTAAAATACGTAATCTCAATTGGCCTAATAAATACAAACTTTATATACGTAAATTATATTAAATATAATTATATTAAAATACGTAATCTCAATTGGCCTAATAAATACAAACTTTATGGATGAAATTTGAATAAAGACAATTTAAAAGAAGCTCCAATATACCTTACAATACTTTACACATACAAAACGCAATATATATTATCGTAGTCGGATACGTCGTCGTCGTCGCCGTTATTTTCGTTTTTATTGTTTTATTGAAAACATTGTTGTACAAAGATTTACGTTTCTGCTAATTGTATATTTTAAGAAAGAAAGAAAAAAATGTTCGTATTATCTCTATCAAACAATTGTGTCCGTTTATGCTTACAGATTTTATTTTTAAGGTTGTACTACTTGAGCGCCGTTTAGCTTTTAACAAACTTCTGGATTTTATTATTTTTATTAGAAAACTTGAATGTAAAAATACTTATAAAGTTTCGAATGTAATAAAATTAATTGTTTTGTCTTATAATTAAATAAGTGTGTTAAGTTTGTAATATCACGTGGAAAATCATTCAATTTATGGATTAATTAGCATCTTCGCCTATAGTAGTATATGGCCGTTAACTTTGCAGTTTCATCGTCTCATTTACACGAATAATTCGCATTAAATGTACTTAACAAACGAACTACATAACAACTCATTACTCTCATACTCAAACTCGAATTAAGATCGTATAAACTGTGTGTATGTCGTATAAAACTTTGTGGAATGGTAACGAATGGTTCGATCATGCGATGATATGCTCTGTCCGAGCAGTACGAGCAGCGATTTACTCGTTCGGATCAATTCTCGTCGTACCATGGAAGCAAGACGTCCTGTTGCCTTGTCAGAGGGTTGGGAAACCGGAGCCTACAGTCACGTGGAAACAGTGGGGTCAAGTTATCCGGCTCGGAACATCGCTGAGAGTCACTTTGGAAAATGACGGCTCGTTACAGATTAGAGACTTGCACAGGGAAGACAGCGGCAATTATACTTGTTTCGTGGAAAATCGCTATGGATCTGATCAAATTACGCATCGGCTAACTGTGCAAGGTAAGCGGCATTCACTAAGATAATTATTTCTTTTATAATTAAATTATACAACCCATTTTATCATTGAATAAATAAAATTTATATTATTTTCATTGTCACGCGGATCTTCAATTTCATTCGTTTCTTCTATTCTTTTCATTAAAAACGTCAAACATTAAACGTGCAATTGTCGATCGGTCTATGTAATTAATTAGGAAGTCTATCCAGGATATAAAAATATTGCAAGGGCCATTAACGCTATAAGCAATAAGCTTCCATTCGCTTGCTACTATTTTAAATTAAATATCTAATTATCTGCTAGACGGCAATTATTCGCCCAACCGATACTCGACATACGACAAAAATATCAATTAGCATTACGATATTACGTGATCCGTGAATATTCGCTATCGTTTACCGATAGCCAATACCCTTGCATTGGCAACAAAAAAAGAAAAAAAGAAGAAAAAAAAATTCCCTTATACCGCTCACCGACCTCGCTCAATAAAGCACTCAAAGTAAAATCCTTTGCCCACAGTACCACCGGCGGCACCAATGCTACACGCAACCAGCGCCACCAGCAACTCCATTAATGTCCAATGGAAAAACGGGGACGACGGGGGCGCCCCGATTCGCGGCTACATCCTGCACTTCAAGCGCGAGTTCGGCGAGTGGGAGGAGATCAAGCTATCGCACAAGAGCAGCAGCTACCAATTGTCGCAGCTGTGGTGCGGCACCGACTACCAGGTCTACCTCACCGCGTACAACCGTATCGGTATGGGCTCACCGAGCGAGATCGTCAAGGCGACGACCGAGGGCTCGAAACCCGACGACTCGCCCGCCAACGGCGACAAGTTCATAACTGTCAACGTATCATGGATCACGCTTCACCTGCATGCCTGGGGCGACGGCGGCTGCCCCATCACCTACTTCGAGCTCGAATACAAGAGGAGCGGCGAGGAACTGTGGACCCTCATGTCCAACAATATCGAGGTGCGCGATTTCTACCTTCCCGACCATCGGTCACCGACACATCACCACCACCACACCACCACACCACCACACCACCACACCACCACACCACCACACCACCCCCCACCCCCACTCACACGCCCTACGCGACGGAGAGACGCGACGACGTTCTCAGCACACTGATGCTTAAGGAAGCGGAAAACGACTTATTGATTTCATTATGATATCCCATTGTATCAATCGTTAATTGAACACGGATGCTCTCTTTAACGATAATCTTTATCGATATGATTTAGATGAAAAATTCACCACAACGCTAAAGTAGAGTCGTTTCGTTCAATACAATCAATCATCAAATCGTTTATCGTTCATAGATTAGTTTAGTCATAGATTAGTACAAAAAAAAAAAAAATTAGACAGTTCATAGATTAGTTAGATTACGTTTAGACGGACAATTTTACCATTAAATCTTTGTAAAATATTTTTACAACATAATACGATAAATAATTTATATAAATAATTAATAATGTACGTAATATAGGCATACATTGACCTATCGAGATTAAAATAAAATCAATTTGTTATAGTTGATAATAATCAGAATTTAGAAGAAGAAGCAGAAGAAGAAGAAGAAGAAGAAAAATAAGTTTTATTATAAACCGATTGTCCTTAATATATTCATGTATGTTTGCCTTCTGGTAAATCTACTCGCTAATGAAAATTCCCATATTATTAATGTCATTATTTAAAGATAGTGAAGATTCTATAAAAACTATACCACTATAATTAATAATTACTTATTGCGAAAATCGAGAGCACTTTGGAATTAGATTATAAAAGGAAAGCAAAAAACAAAACAAAAGAAAAACCAAAAAAAAAAAAAAAACAATAATGACGCATGAAAGCATCTTATAAAAGTATCTAAAAATGAAAGTACAATTTCGTTTGCTTATCTCTGTCTAAGAATAAGTGATAAGAGTCCCGAAAAAAAAAACCGAGTGAAAAATTACGAAAATCAATTAAATGATTTATTGGCCAGGATCGAATAAGCCACCGAATGAATAGATCATTGGACATTTAACTTTGTCCTGGTGTCGTAATAATACGCTTATCACTTGCTCCACCTAATGCAACGAACACACCCACAATCAGCGAATACAAAAAGAATACAAAGAAAAATCAGCTGCGCAGGGGCGAACAAATAATATAATAATTCTTGATTACGACGTGTGTCCAGGTGCAGAAATCGTACACGTTGAGCGAATTGCAGCCGGGCACGAGCTACGAGGTGCGCATAAGGGCACACAACAATGCGGGATCCTCGGTGGCCGAGTACAAAATAACAACGCAGCAGCCGCACACGAGTTCCACGGTACCGGCCCTCGACGTCGACAGATTCATACCCCAGCAGACGCCTGCTTACGCGGACATCAAACTGATCGTTCCTCTCGTCTTGAGCTCGTTCGCCGTCATTGTCGCCGCAGGCACCGTCTTCTACTGCTTTAAAAAACGTAAGTAAGAACTTAGCTGAGCACCGAGAACAAGTGGTTTTCTTCATAAGGATACCTTCTGACTGACTATGTGTAGCTAAGGATTTAGAAGTGACTGTTACATCATCCCGTTTAGGAAATTCGATAATTAATTTTCTCAAAGATATGTAGGGATTACTGCTGTGAGATATACTTGTTACGTTACAGGTGGAGAAAATTAATATAATATATTGCTTTCAAATCCAATTACCGCGCTGTTTGTGAACAATTATATTATGTAAAGAAAAGAAAAACAAAAAGGATTGGATGAAGAATGGTTTTTAATAAAAATACTAGAATAATTTATTAGCGCAGAAAGCTTATAAAATTATGATTAAATGTGATGTGCTCAGGTAATCAAATTTAAAGTTTCCACATTACTGTAAACACTTCGAGTAAACTGTATTTGATCTCATAAAACTCTATAAAGTTAAAAGCTCGAGAAAACATTCTATTATTATCCATCTAAAATGATAGCAAATAAAATGAAATGTGAGATGATTGTACATTAGACTTTTAATAACGCTTGATAAAGATAAATTCTCCAGTTCAAGATTTATATTGATTCTTAAGATTTTTGTAATAAATAATCTTGCTCTAGATTAACGTAGATATCGTATCAAATTATAGAATATGTTTTTATTAAAATTTACCTTCACTGTATTGCGAAATAAAAGTTTTTACATTATCTTAATTGTCAATATTAAAGATAAGTTTTTATTTATCTTAACTTATTTACTGATAAAGTTGCCATTCGGTTTTTTTATTCCATTTTTTTTTATTATTATTATATTTTTTTTTTTTTTTTTTTGTTTTGTTTTGTTTTTTCCTAATGAAACACGCTCACTAAACATACGTAATACTTTGTTTTATCACTTGAAAACAATTCTTTTCTTTAAAATAACATGTGAACGAAATATTCTGCCTTCAAGATGAAGTATGAACATTCTAGACTGTAATAATGAAAATTTTAAATTATGTTTAAAGTTTCCTTTTTATCAAAATTAGATTTTTCAAAAAATTAGAATAATGATGAAGAGAGATGATGACGATGATGACGATGATGATGATGATGATGATGATGATGATGATGATGATGATGATGATGATGATGACGATGACGATGACGATAACGATGACGATGACGATAACAACAATGACAACCATAATGACGACAATGATATGAAAAGTCGAAAATTATATGTAACAGTAAAGAATAATTTTAAATGATTATCTTAATTAATACGCACCTCAGCTGTTCTTATATAAGCAATATTTGTATAAAAGAAAATTGCGAGAAATATGAATTGACATTAATGCTGCCTAAAGTAAAAAAATGCCCAATATAAGGAAAATGTATTAACGATCACCAAACGAACGTTAATAATTAAATTGACCGATTGCAAAGTGGTCGATGTCGAGGAACAAACACCAATGATTATTGTGAGAAGCAAATAGCTATAAGAGTGGCTGGTGCTTAATAGACATAATGATAATTAATAACATAGGACCTTTGATGGGTGACTTAGGGAGCCTTCATGATGCGCAAACGGCCGCGGCATTAGATAATAAACAAAACATGGAACAACGGGAGCAGTACTACGCGACTGTGCGGAAGCCCCTGCGCTCGCCAATTCACGAGATTGGTACGTTGGAAAGGATACCAGGTAACTCTTCATTCCATTTCATATCATTATTACATTATTATCATTTTCTTCGCTACCTAACAGGAGAATTCACTTTTTCGTTTCGCACGCAAGCATTTTCACAATCGCAACTCATAAATCCTCATAAACCTATCCGATCGGCCAATCATGCCGTAGAGTTTACTTTACTTTACTTCCAAGCTCTCCCCAAATTCACCTCCAGCGCCACTATACTTAACTATAATTCCGGCGATTAACCTAACCGATTCGTTAACATTTTTTCACTGAAAAAACTATATATGCCTATTGCAGTGTCGAAATAAACCGTTACCTGACGCGATATCGACGCGCTTATTGACGAGATATTAACGAGCTATTGACGAGCCATTGACGAGCTATTGACGAGCTATTGACGAGCCATTGACGAGCTATTGACGATATGTTGACGAACTGTTGACGAACTCTTGACGAACTGTTTACGAAATGTTGACGAATTGTTGACGAGATAATGACCAGCCGGTACTGGACCTCAGTCCAAGACCACAGTCTTTGACATAATATTGTGCTGCGGCAGCTACGTATAATCCTACCACTTAATTATTAAAAAAAAAAAAAAAAAAAAAAAAAATCATCTTAAAGACGAGTAGCGCGCGGATAACGGCCGAGTAGCGGGAAAAGCTTATAAAAGAGCATTAATTTGAAAAATAACGAAAAACACTTTACTATCCACCTTAACCATTGAAATTCCGCGTTAAATGTCAAATGTCAAATACTGTTCGCTCTCTACAAACGACATAATGTCCGTACTCGATCAATGGCAATGCCGTATCCATAATAATAATCAACCATTTCCATGGGAATGGCTAAACCCACGTACCATCAATTCACCTTGTACATTGCGGATTTGACGAAACATCGATTCTCGGTTTACCGGATCCGACATTAACCATAAACCGGAACATAACGGAAGACTGGGCGCGACTGTTTTCTACATCGAGAAGGAGCTTAATCAAATGATCGGAGTCGAATCGACTTAACAAAGACAGAGAGAGAGAGAGAGAGAGAGAGAGAGAGAGAGAGAGAGAGAGAGAGAGAGAGAAAGCAATTGGACAGGGCTCGAGGAGCTTGTAAACAAATGTTAAGTACATTGACAGGCTCGTATGTCCGTCGCTAGTGAAAATCTACGGATAAGCAATAAGCGATCGCGGCCGTCAGTCGCTAGCGATAAAAGCCCAAGCCTCGCGCATCTGGAGCCCCCAAACATCCTCAGAACGGCCACCGCCACCTGCTTACTTTTTCCAGAGTACTCCGAGGACATCTACCCGTACGCAACTTTCCAATTGAAGGAAAGTGTTCCGGCGAGCGCCGACAGCCGCTGCGACTCCGCGGCGCCGCTCCAGACCTTCGTCTACCACGATCCCCGGCTCACGAGCGCCGACACCCTGCAGCTCCGAGAGGTAACCCGACCACGGCCTTGTTGGCGTGCGCCCCGGCCCTAATCGTCTTACACCTCTGTAACTGTCGAGTCCCCGCGTCGACGCACCATCGCCGAGTCCATCGCCCCACCCTCACCTCTTTATCCCATAAACACTCTCGATGATTATCGCCGAGTCGTAGGATACAATTGTTACACGGTCACCAATCACCTCCACCTCCTCCTCCTCCTCCTCAACCACCATCTCCTCCATCACCACCATCTCCTCCTGCTCCTCCTTACCTTATACCTCTCCATCTCCTCTTAAATCCGCGTTTATTTATTATCTATTAGGTTGATTGGAATAATAGATGTTTGCGACGTGTCAAAGTATCGCTAAGTACACTTTCAACTTCGTGTTACCGAATGCTGCCAATTTAAAGCTGAAAGCATATATATTTGTTTAAAATTTCAATCCAGTAGGCAAATATACATTAAATAAACGTGTCTCTTTAGTCGCTAAAATCGCAGCTATATGTGTATACGCAGTTAGCATGATTATCCAATATTCGCACATGTGTCATGCACAAAAAGCTTCGTTTCATAAAGAAAGTGTATCATTTTTGCAATACACACTTACACGTTGCTAACTCTCTCTCTCTCTCTCTCTCTCTCTATCTATCTATCTATCTATCTATCTATCTCTATCTATCTTTCTATCTCTCCATCTATCTATCTATCTATCTACCTATCTATCTATCTATCTATCTCTATCTATCT